AGATTTTTGAAGAACCTACAAAACTGGATTTTGAGAATATTTGATATGTTAAATCGAAGGCAAAGCAGCTAAACTTGTATTAAAAAAAGGATCCTAAAGGGAATGGACAGATTTTAAAAAATAAAACTAACCATGAAATCAAAAATCAAATAGAGTAATTTATGTTCGGATGTAAAAACAAATAGGAAAATACAAATAGGCCAATTTTTTATGAAAATTACACAGGAAATCGGTCAACCTATATTTTTTATTTTTCAAAATTGCCCCTTACTATCCTTGGACCGCATTTAATTGTTTACTTTTTTTCATTAGTAGGGTAGTTCCCTAGTGTGAGGGGCATTGCCCAATCCAGATGCCCGAAATTAGAATCCTTAGGCCTCCTTTTTCCTTAGGAAACAAATGAGTTAATGTAGTTTGAGGATGTCGAACTCGGACCAACTCTAAATTCTTAATAAAGTCAGTCTTTACGGTCTGAGGATGCCAACCTCGATCCGCTTTAAAGAGCACAACAGAAGGCAATCCGATGATGCTAACATCGTGCTGACTAGGCCTACCCCAAACATTAAGGCATACCCTATTGTCGAAAAAAATAAAAAAAAATAAAAAAATAAAATGCAATCCGAGGATGGTATCCTTACCAACCTCGGACTGAGGGACAATATTGAAAAAAATAAAAAACCTCAGGTTGTCCGACCTTCAGCGTAATTTTAACTCAAAATTGACTTATTTTATATTTTAGTATTATTTTTTTGGGATAATTATGGATACCCCAAAATGAACTTTGTAGACAATCTACCCTCCAATACTTTTAGTATCACACATATAAACTCAATTACTATTTTTTCTTGCATTTATCCCAGTCAAAAAATAAATGTTTTAAAGACTAAACTACCATTTCCCTCCCTTACTCTCTACCTATTTAATCTTTCTATCTCTAGGTGCCCTCTCTTTGTCTCTCCACCAGCCAGCCCTCTCTCTCTCTCATGTTGAAAAAATACAATTCAGCACAAAAGTTTGTCGTACAGGCATCTGGCTTTTGGAAATCCAGAAGCCTCATGAGCAGTCCAGACGACTGTTGTGTCAAACCATTTACAAGGTTTCTAGATTTCCAGAAGTCATAGCACGAGAGAGAAAGAAAGAGAGATAGATGCGGGTAGCGAGAGATAAAGGGCAGGTAAAGAGAGAGAGGGCGGAGAGACATAGATTTAATGGGTAGGAAGTAAAGAAAGGAAAGGTCGCTTAGTCTTTAAAACATTTACTTTTTGATTGGCGTAAAAGCAATAAAAAATAATAACAAAGTTAAAAGTATTGAAAGTAGAATGACTACAAAGTTCATTTTTGGGGATTATCCATAATTTTCCCATTTCTTGTGTCCATACATAATTCACTCAATCAAATATTTAACAAACATCCCAATTTTACATGAAATGCACGATTTACAATATAGACTGTAAATTCACAATCTTGACAATGAAATCATTTAGTGAATAAGCGTCATTATTATCATCATCGTCCGAGCCTTATTCCAACTACATGTGGTCTCCTAAGTGAAGAAGCCAGAGCAAAATGTAAATATAAAAGGTACTCAATGTTGAAAATGATGCAAAATAATAGAAATTGTAGGGTTCGTATTTTTCTTATTTCTTTTTTTTTTTGTTTTTTATAGATAAGAGGGTAGTTATAAGTTATGGGTAGTTAACTCTCTCTTTATGGGTAATGGGTAGTTAGAGTTATCTAATCAGTAGGGTTTGTAAGTAGTTATCTAATAAAGTTTGTGAGTTGTGGGTAGTGGCATAGATGCCTATATATGAGCATCATATAATAAGATATGTGTCACCGGCATATGTAACTTCTGAGCAATCAGTGGATGTAACTTGACCTTTGGATGAATATATGAAATGAGATATATGTGAATTACCTTACTTGTTTGTGTTTATCTCTTCCAGAAAGAAAGAATAATCAAATATTTTTGGAATACCCCCTGCATCTTTCTAAAAAATATTGACAGTTGTATTAGAGCCTTTATCTAAATAATTCTTACATGTTACCGGATCGTCTATAAAATATAAACACTCAGGTTATACTATTTGGAGAACAGTGGCAATGTCTGGTAGCGGTTTCTCAGCTGAGAAGTACTGCTAGGGTAATCATTGACATAATGCTCCACCGGTGCCGATACCGTGGTCTTTTTGGCTCAACAGTTTTAAGGATGGCCAATCACAGGAGAGATTTTCCTTTTCCTTTTATTTATCTTGATCTTCTGGTTTCCTCGAGTGTTGGCAAATATTTTTAGAGAGAGAGAGGGAAAGGGAGATGTATAGAGAGAGAAAGATTGTAGAGGGAGATTTATTATCATGGGAAGGAAACGTGGTCCAATTAGAGCTCTGGAAAAAAAAAATACTGTTTCTGATTCAAGGATGATTTTGGCGTGTCAGTTTTTGATCCGTCAGGCTTCAAGCCGTATCTCCATCACACCACACCTCTCTCTCTCTCTCATCGTAACAAAACACAAGACTTTCAATCTCGTTTTGAACATTTCAGTGCAACATATTTACTAATGTTGCAGAATAAGCTATCAGCAAAACCATGATTTAATTCAGGAGAAAAAACAAGAAAAACAAAGTGTAGTTTCAAAAAGTTAAAACACAATTCTCTCTCTCTCTCTCTCTCATCAGCAAAGTTATGATTTAATTCAAGAGAAAAAAAAGAAGAAAAACAAACTGCAGTTTCAAAAAGTTAAAAACCAATTCTTCCTCTCGACATGCCAGAAAACAATGAGATTTACTAAAGCGCATTTAAATTTTCTTTTCATGAATCAATGAATAACCTCTCTCTCTCTCTCTCTCTCTCTCTCTCTCACACACAACAACTAACTAATAACTAACTAACTAACTATAACGTATTATTCGTTTACTTACTTAACTTAACTTAACTTAACTACTAACTA